AATTGAAACTAGTTTCAATCTAGCTGAAGCTAGATGAAATTTTCATGTATTTCTGTGCAGCTAGCTGAAGCTAGATAAATGTACCTTTTAATCTAGATGCAGCGCCCGCTTCATGATTTTTTTTCGTCCTTGGGAGTTAATTTATACATCCATGCTCTAAATAGTATTTTTTTCATTATTGAATGGGCCTGAAACATTTTTCGTCGAGAAGCCAGTTATTTGATAGAGTTCAAGACTTTATAAAAGATAAATTCATTTTTAATTGAAAAGAATAAAAAATCATCGTTGAGTTCGTTTAGTCGTTTTTGCTGTTGTGATAATAATTACTTCGAATGAAGTCGATTGTAAACAATAGTTAATGATAATAAACTGAAAGAAACTAAATTATAGTAATCAGCGGTAAATGACAATTTTTAAGTCAGTGGATAGCTGTAATTTATATCTGTCTATGCAATACTATTTTTCTCTCATAGAAGATGATCTTAGTCTGCCGCCTGACTATAATTATGAAACTGTTCTGAATGCTTACGGTTTTCAATTAGTATATCTTATGAAGAACTAAAAGTCTGAATATTTATTTTGATAATAATCCTACTCGTTGATCTCAGAGTATGGTTAGAAACGATACTGATCATGAACGTCGTCTATCAAACAGGATCGCAAATCTATTGAGAGAAAATTGCTTCTTGAAGGTTTAGATGGATTCTGTATCGCATATGAAAACATGATGGAATTTAAATCGAGGTTTACCCTAGTGAATGTACTTGTGTACAAATATCTAGGCAAGTGCTAGGACAAGTTTTTCTAGAGTACTTGGATATTTTCACAAGTAAATAAACTACTTGACAACTAAATTTAAGAAATTGAAGTGCTTGATTAGCTTGTATTCAATGAAATACTAGCACAAATAACGCAGGTACTTATGATTTTTCATAAGCATTCAAACAAGGTCTTGTTAAGTATTGTTCTCCCAGCATAGATTAAGTTAGTATAGTTTATTTTATTTCCATATTAGAGATAACTTTGTGGTGGAATAAAACAAATTTCTAATAAATGAAGTTTAGTTGCTTACTGGAGAAGAAAATGCTATACTGAATCATATACATCAACTGTGTCCAAAAACTAGGTTTTTTAATTTTTCTTAATAATTATGAAGTATCATCAGACAGGGCCCAAGATATAAAACATTGGATTGCAGTAGCTTAACAAGTTCAAGTAAGTACAAAGTAAGTTACACATATAGAACTCCATGAAATAATGAACAAGAGAATAGAGAAACTTTGTTAAACGAAGTCATTAGCTGAGAGATAGCACCTAAGTGTATAAAAGTGAAAAATATTTTCTCATATTCAGATCTTCATAGGAAAGTTTTTAGATCTGTTGGACCAAAAGAAATTCTTAAAGCTTTCGGTCGGGTCAACTTTCGGTCAATATTGCAATCCGATTCAGCTTCTTCTATATATATATATATATATGTACGTGTATAGTAGAAGATGGCATACAAATGAGGGAGTAAATAATAAACAGTTATTCTTTTTGAAATTATTTAGACTTCACTTTGTCTCTCATTTATGAATGGTATGTTTATAACGTCTAGGTTTTCAGCTTGTTGGTGTGCAGTATGAGTATATGGTGTGTATATAAACGAATTCAAAAAGAGCAAAAGAACACAAAAGCGTTACTTTTTCTTACTCTACCGTAACATGTGGAGAAAGAAAATATATGCATTTATTTCTAACGATAGGTCTTGTGTTCCACCATACGGCATAAAAGACGTAAAAATGCAAAAGGAGAGAAATTGAATCACACTACTAAAGTCACCAGGATTACCGTAATTATTAGAAATCGATTTAATTTTGTAATATTTGCAGTAGGACCGATGATTAGTTCTAGTTCTCTAACTAGAGTAGCACCATAATTTCACATGAAGTCGTGCACATTTCACGCTTCAATGGCTCACAATTTTGAATTGATATCCATACTACATTTTCAAACTACAAGTGAATAAGATGCGGGGTGACATAGATTTTTGTTAAAAATGATCTCATTGTTTAAAACTGTCATAATTATTAGAAATACATGTAAAACAATATAAAAATAACTTTTTGTTGACTGTTCCATTTTTCATTCTTAACGATCAAAAAACTTCTTCATTGTTACATTTCATCACAAAGCAATATTTATCTTGAATATGAAGTTAATCGTTTGTTTTATTAATTAGATTCATCATGTCTATGAACATGTATTTGGCTGTGGCTTTACTAATTAATAATTTAGGGCTATTTATACTGGAAATAATAGCATATCATGCATGTCATTCAGGTATAAGAAAGAGATACATTAGAATATATTAACATAAATTTGCTTTTAGTTGTTATGCTATTGGATGGTTATTATCGTCTTTGTCAAGCAATTTTATGTACTGTTCGAATTTTATCTTTGAGAGTAAGTTTTAAAATTAATGAATTTTTCTTATATAGTAACACTAGGGTCACACTACAGCCTTAACCACGATTAATTTGTAGTGTGACCGTGACATTAATATCGATTAACGAGTTAATCATGATTAATTTTAATCTTTATTAAGGCTGTAGTGTGACTCTAGTGTTAATTTCTATTGTAGATTCAATTTACTTATACACCACGATATACATATGGGTTAGCTAGAGGTAAAAATAGCAACGACTTCAAATCATTATGTTAAATATTTAATTGAACACTATTTTAGTTGGTGTTGTTGGCGAACTAATTGCCTTCATTAGTTTTTTTTCATTATCTATTTCCGTATTTATGGAAAGTATTAAACATTTAATTGGTCAGTTTAATCCGTTTAAAATTTGTCAATATCTATTTGTATATTTCAAATTTAGATGTTGTTTTTGTCATACCAAAACGTGAAAATAGTTCGGTAATATTCACCGCTCATGGAGATGGTAAATGTATGTCACTTTCATGTTTTATCTAGAGAAATAAAACCATGTTTTTTTCTTTCATATTTTTCTAATATAGAACATTTGCATAGTCTGATTGATCGTCCACGGATTATATTTGGTATTGGTATTTATGCAACAATTTCAAATTCATTACTTGGCATTGCTGTTCTATGTAAAAATTATAAAATATATTATTTTTCTGACAATTAATATTTTATATCTTCTTGTCTTGTTTTTAGATGTTATATTCAAACGGTATGCAAAGATCAGTGCACAATTACAATTGAGAAAAAAAACTTTCATAGCTTTACAGAGAAAAGTGTCGAATGCACGTAAGCACACTGATAAATATACTTGATATATATTGGACATTATATTAGTGACACTTATAGAGTTGACTTCACTAGCAGCAAATGTTCTACCATACTATAAGCAAAAATAGTAGTAACGGCATAGGATGCTGGCTTCGTAACACTAGCACCTTGAAAGATGATTTGGACAATTCCTGAAATCTCCACAAAATAAAAAAGTTCCAAAAGAGTAAAGGTGTGGAATTTGCTGTTCAAAAAATCAATGGTGGCGAAGTATTTTTTTATTTTTCTTAATAACTTTCTAATTTTCAGTTACTTTTTTTATTTCATCAAAAAACTCTGTAACACAAAAGACGATAGTACAGTAAAAGAAAGGGTATCCAAAACCGCACTTTTTAGGAATGGTTTTTCTGCCATTCCTTTCCAGAAAAGTCACTTTTAAAAAGGCAACAGAGGAACACTTTCGAAGAGTGATTTATAATCGAATACTTTTGGAAAAAGGTCACTTTGGAAAGCGCCGAGCTTAAGTGCTAAAAGTACTCCTCTGTTCAGCATTTTGGAATTGGTCTAAAAAAACGTGTAGGAAATAGGAACGATTCTTTTCAGCTACACATTTTTTGTACAGTGTATGGATGTCTTTTACTCATCGCGGAAATAGTTTTGAATGCGGACATATGACACTCTTTTACAAATATAGAATAAACATACACAATCTGTATCGGTATAACTTAGGATGATTGTATTCATCACACTAACGTTAAGGCGCTCGCACATTTCTTCCAGTAATGTTTCAATGTTACCACGTTTTTGCATCAGTATTTTATATTTTAGTGTTGATTACTGATACATTACCTGTTGGTCATTCGATACTGCAAGTACTTAGCATGTTACTGGGTCCATTTGTTATTTTGATTATGGGTTTGTTATTGATTGTTTTATCAGTAAAACCCGACTATAATAAACGACGACTTATCTATGGTCGACTGGTAGATCCAATTGCTTGCGTTATACTTTTCCTATTTTATTTACTTATGATTATTGGACCAAGTGAGTACTGCTCTTTACTTGAATTGCAGCTGGTTTTCTCTCAATTCTTATTAGTTAAGGAAATAATACATCTTGTTTTGCAAGCAAATCCGAAAGGACTTAAGTCTGATCAAATCGAAACAACATTAAAACAAGCTGTAAGTAACTCATTTTTAGAATGTACATTAATTGTTATATTCTCGGTTTAGATACCTGGTATCTTGAAAATTCATGAATTGCATGTATGGCGTTTAACACCACAGAAAACATTGGCAACAATTCATATTGTTTTCAATACGACAGAAGAGATACAAGAAAAATATAAAGATATTAATTTAGTGTTTCAAGCACTCAATATCGATCATGTGACGATTCAACCAGAATTTTGTCTCGTACGTAAAATTTGTAAAGCGTAGAATAAACTATTAGATAACAGGGCTGTCACTTGAGATGCCATAACCAACGTGTTTTTCGTTTTATTGCTATTGATTGTTGATTGGGTGGCAATCCTGGTAGATAATCATGATAATTTCCAATATCCAATAATTTTTAAGTACTAAATTTTACTTTTAAATACCTTAAATGAAAGAGCATAAAAATTGAATAAATCTCACTTAGCATCTTTTTTCTGAAAAAGTTTTCTAAAGGCTATAAGAACAATCGTTACACTCATACCAAATTCAGAGCCTCAAAAAAGGTATTTTTCTCTCATTTGGTATTCCACGCTGCATTTTTCTGACGCTCAGAAATCCTGTACAATTCGATTTTTTATTGTTAAAGCGTAGTGATCTGCAACTTGACACTCACAGTGTGCATTTAGGCAAACATTTTACAAAAAAGTAAAAAACTACTTCTACTAATCTAACTTAGTGACCTGAGAAGGTAACCAATAGATTTGAAATTTGAACGCTATGTTTAAAACTTGTCAGAATGAGAAATATCTTGTTTCTGTTTTTTATTAGACTGCAAATAAAACTGAAAGAATTGGTTGTCTTTATCAATGTTCAAATCAAGATCAATGCGCGTCACTAAAATGTTGTAAAGATGCATCAGCTGACTCAACTACACCTTGTCTTGACCACGCATCACTACTCTTTCCTCGTCGAAGTGAACCGTGCTTAGATAAAATAGGCAATACGAATGATGATGAAAAATTAACGACAGAAGCAAGTGAAACATGTGTTGAGCATTTGGACCATTCATAAAACATATTCAAACAACAACTTCGTCAAAACATGATTATATCAATTTAGATGAAAAACAGTGGTGTAATAACTGTTCATTGAAGCAATTGGGATATCTACTAAATATTACAGATTATTCCTTTTACTTGTTTTCTTCGGAATAATAATGTATAGTTCAGACTTGTTGAACATACATTTTTTATATCTCTTTGTTATTTCCTTTATAATGACATTTTTCAAGATAACTGAAGTTCATGAAACATTATAATTTCGTTGTGTATCTTTGAATAATATTTAGGATTTTTGTCTCAAAAATATCTCTACCAAGGAGATGCAATTCTGTCAAAATAGCACTCCCAATATTTTCCCTCAACGTAGTTGCTTCATGATTTCTGTAAGTACCGCGCTCACTATGTAATACTTTCGAATTCATCAGTATTAGATAATGCACGTTGTCTATTAGCAGCGCCAGAAAAAGCCTTTGCACAAAATGAGCAGTGAGTATGCGTAATCTCTAGAATAAAAGTAATAGATCAGAATGTATGTGTATGTTACATAAGTTTTTTTGTCTGTATATGATACTGATGATGTTGACTGTCAGTAAACTTTCCCAATACGACGAATGCAATTGAATTCTAATATGTCTTCTAAGTGAGGTGTCTTCCTGGTCTGTACGTTGGATCATTCAAGAAATAAGAGAAGTGTAAAATATGTACTGATGCGGTCGTTCTTAGGCTGTGCTGGTTATTCCTCTACAACTTATTCCGCTGGAAAATAATGCAGAACACCTTTTTCGATTTTCATCAGCTTTTCAACATAAATTCTGAATAAGAAAGTGAAACAGAGCACATTCACCTACCTGCAAAGATGAAGGAAGAAAGTGGGTTCATATTTCACTTGAGTGTCATTCATTCTATCAGAACGGTCTGTGGTTTCTTAATGTACTGTTCGTTTGTTATGTTTAGAAACTGGAGCCTTAGAAACATTTTCTTACCGATTTATAAATATTTTATTAGAAGACGTGCAAAAAGTTCTCAAAAACCGCTCAGATATCGCATGTTTTTGTAATCTAATTTGTTCGCTTTTGTTCTGCGCTTCATAGTTTTAGCTGTATATTAGACAAAAGAGCGAAAACAACTGAACACTGAACTGAAGTGTTAGATTCAAAATCTAATATTGGAAAATTCAGTTTACTGAAACTTTGAAACTCGAAAAACTCGGTTTTTATCTTCACTGCTGTCACGGAGTCAACGTCACAAATACACACAGTCGCAAATGTGGTAGAAAAGTAATCTTTCAAAACGTTAATCTTAAATGATTAATTTTCACGCGTAAAAACACATTATAATTAATAAGTTTTATGCATGTGATTATGCCTTCACTCTACCATATTGTTATTTCTGTTTCATGAAAGCCGAAAGGCTAAGAATGGTTTTGCTTCACACAAGGTTGAGAAAGATAAAAAATAATGCTGTTATAAACTCAGTCGTAGATTAGAGCACTGAAGCATAGCACAAAAAGCGCGTGTGTGAAGCAACATATTAGAAACACACATGAGTGTGCATACATTAAAACAACATCTCCGTTGATAAGTCATCGAACAAGCAGATGCATGTAAATCGTAAAGTGCATGCGAACATCGAGAGCTTTGAAATCGGAGAACAAGAAGATGGTAACAACCTTATCACACTTGATGGTCAGATCAATGACCACAAGCTTGAAAATGAGCCGGTGTGTATTTACGATTTTACGCAAGGGAATTGAGACTCAAAGGAACTATATGCTGCGTGGCTACCCAAATTCAGTAATATAAGGTTATTCCAACAATGCTAAGAAACTGGACCTGGCAGTGTCCAGCTTGATCGACGATACTGTCAGTGTGCTGCTCGGCAAAGGGGATGGAACCTTTCGGGCTCAAATGAACTATACGGTTGGTGGCAGCCCACCGTCTGTAATATCAGGTAATTTCAACAATGCTAAGAAAGTGGATCTGGCAGCGGCCAACAAGGGACTTCAACGGATTTATTCAGTCAGTAGGGTCCCATAAAAGGGATGGAATCTTTGACACTCAAATGAACTATAGGGTGGGTGGCTACCCAAATTCAGTAATATAAGGTAATTTCACGAATGATAAGAAACTGCACCTGGCAGCGTCCAGCTTGATCGACAATACTGTCAGTGTGCTACTTGGCAAAGGGGATGGAACCTTTCTGGCTCAAGTACAGTATTCTGTTGGTGTCGGCCCAGTTTCTGTAATATTAAATGATTTCAACAATGATAAGAAACTGGATCTGACAGCGGTCAACATTGGCGATTATACTATCAGTGTGCTGCTTGGCAACGGGGATGGAGTCTTTCACATTCAAAATGCGGCTGGTTACAGCCCATATTCTGTAATATCAGGTGATTTCGACAATGATTACAAACTGGATCTGGTAGCGGTCAACGCAGATTCTGGGGACTTGTATGTTTTTCTGAACATGTGCAAGCAATTAACTATGAACATGAAAAGTGTCTAGTACAAAAATATATAAAAGTGTTTCATCGAAAATATTTCCTGAAGGCCACAAAAATCTTAGAACAAAAAGCATCGAAAAACTGTTCCGTAACCTTTTTGAATTTAGAGAACATTTCACCTAATTAGAAACGTTACCTTTTTATTCGTTTTATGGACGTTATGGAACAGTTTTTCGCTGCCTTTTCTAAGATTTTTGTGATTTTCAGAAAATATTTTCGATGAAACACTTTTATATATTTGTATACTAGACACTTTGCTCTTTCTAACAAAAAAAAAAGATAAAGCCTCAAGAATATTCCATCGCAACGCTATATCAAAAACAAAATGAATACAGACTTTTTGCCTCATCCGTTATTCTAAGATATTACACAGTCAAAAACTTAAATAAGTTCAATGATGTTGTGGGGTTGGGTATGTGTATGCTCAGTCTGCTCTTGCGTCTACAGAAAATATTTATCAGAAATTTCAGTTTTGACGACAACAGATTTTAAATTGACCTAGTGGTGAATAGAATGTCATATACGTCTCATTACACTTACAATCAGGTAGAGTTTAGTTATGCCCTTCTAGTACAGTTCTTTCAGTCAAAGAATGAAAACAAAGAGAACAAAAGGAACTTTCATTAATTCTGTGATAGTTATAATATTTTGTTCACATTTTGAATATGTAAGATCCTGTATGCGTTGGAGAGCACTTGATAATGAATAAACAGATGGAAAATTTTCTAGTTTTTAATTGCTTTTATACAATTTTTAATATAATTTTAATTATGTTGACGAAAAGTAAGAATATTTCAGATACATTTCTACTGAAAAAGAAAGTTTTTTTACATAAGAAGTGTCTTTCCATTTTTTAGATAGAACCAAAAGTTGACATACCTCTTTTTTTTTCTTTCTTTCATTTAGTTGATAATAAAATCGCTTAAAAGAGTAGCTCGTGCACTGTAAAGAATTACGACACTTTATTTTTCCTCTGTTTTATCCAACCATCCATCCTTCCATCTAAACGTTTTTCTTTAATGTTTTTGTTCATTATTTATTTGAATTAGAAAAAAAAGAAGAAAGAAAATTGAATGGACAGATAGCTACACGTTTTTTTGATGAGTACTTTTCTCTTACAGATGAAAAAAAGTTAAAATATATATTCTTGAACGAACAATAACTATCAAATGGAAAACATAGTATAGAAATTAGTAGTTGTAAGTACCACTAATCGACTTTTTTATCCTGCTTTATACAAGATTCTTAACTCTTGACACTTCAAACAAGAATCATGTTCAATAGTTACACAAATATTTTTATGTTAAGATTCTTGAAATTGCAAGTAAAAATCGTCTCTTATATTAAACTTACAAGAATATTGCAAACAAAAGAATTCACATGTGATTCATTTGTAGTTTTATTTCTTTTCAAATATATAAGAGATGCATCATTCTATCCTCCCTTATTTTTCTGATGTCAACACCGACACATGGAAAGACACGATTTTCTTTAAAAAATATCATATAAGATTTAAAAGAATTTCCTGTAGACAACCTTACCTGTGTATAAAATATTGTGAATTAGATACAGAACCAACATCATCAAGGCAAACAGGTGATTTTCAATGACTTTTGTCATCTCAGACAACACTAGTCAACGATCAGCTTGGTCTGAAAAGGTGAATCAGCTATACAGTTTTACCGGGTCTGAATTAGATTTCATTAAAATGAATCTTCTGATGTTCTTTCTGATGATGAACATTCTAAGTAGCTCATTCGTCAGCTCTGAATTAGTTATGTTAGAAGAAAAGGCATCATGTGGATAGGACAAAGATCTCTAAACTGTGAAAAAAATTTAAGAGTAATACAAAAATTAGATAACTTTGTCTATCATAAATATTTAAGATTAGTATAATCTCAAGTAGGAAGTTATTACTGTTACTGTCAAGTGTACACCCTAAGTCTTCAACATCATGTGGTTACTTGAGTCAGCCCTGAAAGCACTGATAACGATATTCATTTCTGAGTAAGTAAGAAGCAAAGGAGAAGAAAACAACTTTTTGTGGAAAGTAATTTTTAGTTTTTTTCAGAGCTGATTCTGACTCTGATTCAGTTCGATAAAACTGCATGGTTAATTCAGCTTTTCAGACCGAGTTGATCTAGTGTAAGAATCTTTCTTTCTAAGATTTCTTTCTTTTTTAAGAAAATTGAAATAAGAATAAAATCTGAAGAAAGAGATGTTTTCTAAAGTGCAGGTACGCATCAAAATAGTCATGAGACTTTTCTCTTCAATTGAAGACGTGTCGCAACTCTCCGCGTGGCTTGGTTTGGTATATATCGACACAACAAAATCAAAAAAAAACGTTACAGACTTTCCTTGCGGTAGCAGAGTTAGCTGGCCTTGCCGTTAAACTCATAAAAATTAGCATGGGTTAGAAAACAAGATGCTTGTAGTTTAACGTTGTATTGTTTCACATTCATTTTACAGTGTCTGTTGTTTTTGATATATGCATACACATCAAG